CATGTAATAACAAAAGATTTTTATCCAGAAAGGATAATATTGTAAAAAATAAAGCAAATGAAAATAAAGGGCTATATGAAACTCTGTAGGTTATTACATAAACTCTGATCTTTTCCAGAGTATAGAGGGTAACATGAACAAATAAAAATACAAAATCTTTAGTTAGATGTTCATTAATTATACAATCAAAGAAATGCATGTACCACAGGTGCATATGTTATACCTTGAAATTTTTCAAAATTATCAGACAGCTAACAGGTGATTTTCTCCAATTAAGCCACAGTGTTCAGACCTCTTCAGTTAAGTACAATCTGTACCATTAAGCTTTTCTTTCATTCTCATATTTTTACCTTAAAAAGCTACCATGATCCAAAAGAAATCTTGTTGCTGCACTCAAGGCTTTTATAGTCTTGCTGGGTTAATAATGTATTGTTAACACAAAGTTTAAAAAGGCCTAAAACATATATCCTACTTGATGCTAAATTACTTAAGCAGGTGTTCACATGAATAAATGTCCACTCACATTTCTGAAATAGAAAGTTATTTTTAAAAGTCTTTAACATGTCAGAGTTTCCACATATCACATCTTTCACTTCAGCTGAGTGTAGAAATATTTCCATCATCATGACAAATATTTTTGAGTACCTTAGTATGGCACCCTGTTAGAGCTAGAAGCTTCTAAGATAGAGCTCATAGTATTTTCTTCCTTACATCACTGCAGCTGGCAGAATAAAAAATTAGTCAGGCCTTAGACCATGTAATCAAGTCCTTCTAGAAGAGACATTTTAACTATGACATTGTTTTGGCCAGGATACATTTTTCTGATTAAGAATTTTGTTTCCTTCCCCTCTGGAAACTAGTAGCCATATGCTAATACAAAATATTATTAGGTAACATTATTCTTATGTAATGCAGATATTTGCTCAATGATCCTGGGCTTGCAAATACTTCCCACAAATAGATAGTTTGGGAATAGCTAGAGACTATAAACTTTAATCCAGGGCTGAAATAAATGAATACTCTGTGATTAATTATGGGATAATCTTGCCTAATTCACAAACTATCCAAATTAAAAATTTGTGAAAGAGCACATTTTTCTTACTGTAAATGACCTGGCCTATGGCAATGGTTTGTACAGCTGTAACTACTCTTCCACTACTTTCTGTGGTGAGCTCAGTGCAGTTCTAAGAGTGGCTCGCAGAGCTAAGGCTGGTATCCTCCACTATAGCCAGGCTAGGTACACAGGCAGCTCTGGCTGGATGAGCCGAACAAGGCTGACTAGATGAAGTCAGATCTCATCAGCACAGTCCTTTCAATAGCTGGGCTGTAATGTGTTCCTTCCCTCTCAGGTGACTGCTGTGCCCTCTTTGTGGGAAAAGCCTCCCTCAGAGAGCAATGGTTGTATGCCCAGCTCCCACCTAGGAAGATCAACAAAGAACAACTTGCAGCTTCCCCTCCAGAATGTCCCTCTGACAACATCTGACAATAAGCAGTGTAAGATCCTGGATGTTGAGCCTTCCCAACAGCCTGGAAGCAAGAAGAAGCTCAGAACCACCAGGCAGAAAGCAGGACCCATTTGCATGGGTCATTTCCACAACTGCCATGACTTCCAGCAACAGCTGATTGAAAAGCAAAAAAAGAAACTTCAGGAACAGGAGAAAATAATTCTGGAGCTGAAGGAAAGCCAGAGGCTAGCAGAGGCTCAGTGGGCAGCAGAGCGTGCCAGAACAGTCGCAGACACACACAGCTACTTGCTGACAAACCCCAGAGAGGAAGAAAAACCAAAAGGAACCTGCCAGGTGCTTCCAAAGTATGTCCACTGTACGAGGGCACTCTCTGGGCTCAGGGCTTGGTGGCTTCACTTTGTGGTAGTGAGGCTTCTGAACTTCTCTGCCTGGCTTCCAGACTCCCTGATCTCTCCTATTCTTTTGTTGTGTACTCTAAAAACAAGTAAGTCCCCTATGCTGTGATTGGTATGTGACAGGTACTAACAGGTATTTAAGGCAAGTGGCTGCCTATAAAGATCCAGTTAGGCAGTTGGCATTTGTGTTGTACCTGCCTTTGAAGAGCTCTGCTGGAATACCAGTAAAAGAGAAACATACTTATCTGCTCTAATTCACTTTCAGGGTTTCTGACTATGTTTGGTGCTGAGAAGCCAGTTCGGACAGTATCAGGTGCAAATGGAGCCAACTGATTACCTACTTTAAATTTGCATTTTTTGGGGGGTAAAAGTAAACATTTTTGAACTGGAAATAAGAATCCAAATTTCTCAAAAGCCATTTAAAATGGTTCCAGACATGACTGAGACATATTCAGTACATGTGATAAGTAGTAGGATAAGAATAGGATGACAGCTGTTTATTTGAAGCACTGGGATGGGAGTCCAAGCCCTTGACTCACATCGTAGACTCAGGCCATCAGTCAACCTTTCCATGTCTCATTTTACCAATTTATTGAGTGGGAATAGTAATCCATGGTTATCTCAGAGAGTAAGGATTAGAGGCTATAAAATGCACCGTGTAAAATGCAATGCAACGAGCTTTGAATAAAGCTTATTATTGGTCTAAATTCTTTTCCTTTCCCCAACAGCTTGCCTGTTGCTTCCCCTGGAACTGAAGGTAGTAGAAATGGCTCCCGAAATTCTCTTTCCGGACCCAGAAGGAACCCAAGGCAGCTGCTGATGGCACCCCAACCCATACTGAAAGGCAGGACTGTCTTGATGGTGGTGGTCTTCCTTCCTGGAGTATAGAATATGCTGGGACTGAATCCTGGCGGCTCTTGGGTTTTGAGACTTGTTAGAACATGGTCCAACATGGGTAGACACATGAAGAGTGGAATGCACCAGAAAGCTCCACTTCCTTCCTGCCCCTTCTGCCAAACTTTTTGGCCTTCCCACCCAATACAAACAAAAAAACACACTGCTGAAAGGTCTATCCTTTTTCTGTAATTTGAGATTTGAATTGTGAAAAAAAAATGGAACAGTTTCACAAGTGCAAAACCTCTGAGTAGCTGCTAAGGAGAAACATTGATAAAGATCACCTATCACTGTAGTTTGTTAATGTTAAAATATTGATCAGTATATAGCAATCCATGCCAAGTTAATAACTTCATTTTATAATGAGTTGTGCCTTGATGATAGATGTTTAGTAATAAAATCTACAAACATGACATTTTAATAACCTTTTTGATGCACATAGAAATCATTATTTAAACAAAACAATACTATGAGAAGAGAAGCCTTCCTTAGAACCTACCTAGTGAATCATTAACTAATTGTTTTTACTATACACTAAGTCACATACCATATATGTATTTGTATGAGGAGATAGGCACTTTGACAATTATACTATGGTTTGTAAATCTGATTTTTCACCTGTGGGAAGATTGCTGCCCTAACAAGAAGTGATGTCATCTGAAGTACACTGTGCCTGAAGTTCATTCCTATTAATAAAGAAATGAGCAGTTTTTGCATTGATTCTCTGCCAGGGCAGCAGTTGATACCATCTTTGCCCACCACTCAGGACGATGAAGAAACACTCAGTTCAGTGTGATTATTTTTGGAAGATTATTGTTTGATCAAGGAGTTAGTATATTTTAGAACCCAAGGCTACTTTTCATGTAGTCTTTAATGATTAGCCCTAGAAAAGATGGGGAAAGGGCATTTTACCAGAAGCTGCTTCTCAGGTGTTCAGTTTAATCCTCTAGTCTATTTCTATCTTCTTAAAGACAGTCTCACTTCCACCAGCTGCAGTAGCCCCACTATTCTTTTTCCAACAAAGCAGACACTTAATATCTGTAAGCAATAGCCTGGTGAGTTTTTTTTTTTTTTTGAAACTTGGACTTAAATTTTCTTCTCTATAACTTGGCACAAGGACCCAAGAGTAACTATTGGCCGACTTAGGTGGGCAGAACTTGATACTCCTCCCACCCATGCCCCTCTCCCTACGAAAGCTTTGACTGATGACAGAGCCATATTACCAGACCATCTTGCACATTTGCTGCTTTTGGATCGATATTTAATAGACTGTCAAGAACAGGAATCTGACATTCGAATTCGTTCACATGCCAGTTCTCCAAATGCCTAGTGCAATTCCATTTCCTGCCCATCTGAATATCCGGGCCTTAAAGCTAGATTAAAGTGTATTCATCGTGACCCTAAACTTTAGTTTGTTTACTGTTGTTACACAAACATATGTATAGTGACTTAAGAAAAATTAGCAGACTCAGATTTGAGGAGTGATTCTGTTCTCAATGTATTTGTTAGATGTAATTAGTTTCCTATCTTCATTAAAGGAATTATCAAATTAAAATTTTGGTTTCTGTGTTTCACATACTAAATGTATCATGAAGGCACATTATTTTATTTAAACCAGTAAATAGTTATTCTAATAGAAATGTAAACAAAAGTAATCTGCAAACTGTTCATCATTGCTGAGGATAGGTCTTTAACCTCTAGGGGGTATATAAATAATATATATTAACATAAATTGTCAAGTATATATCTATAATTTATATTATACACATTTTACATTTATTTAAGTATTGCTGTGATTGTGAACACTCAATTTGCAAGAAAACTATAACAACACTAAATTTTACTATAAAATGGAGACATTTCTTTTGCAGTTTTGCTTGTATTTCTGACATTGGAACTATGTTACTATTTTCTAGCCATGGAAGAGAGAGCAATTCAGCGAGCTGAACGTAGGCGTATCTTGGCAGAGAGGAAGAAAAAACAAGAAGAGGAGAAATTGGTAATAAATCAGAAATGCAAACTGAGGCAAGAAGAAGGATTTGTATAGGTCTTTATTAAAAAATGAAATCTAGCTTGTTTAAGTCTCTTGAGACAATAGAGTTAGACCAACTTTGGAAATGACATTTTGCCCACTGGCCTGAGCTCTGAAAATTTTGGGAAAATAAAGGGGAAAAAAGCTACATCATTAGTATAGTAGAAAGGAAATGTTACCAAAATTTAGGGGGCTAGCAAATTAGAAAATTTAGACATGACCAAGACTAATGTGTTATAGGTAAGTTCAGCCTGCTAAGTTTGTAAAGGTGGCTAGTTCTTCTCCAGCGTTTTGACTTAGACTGTCAGAAGTAAATTGTGCACCTACTAAGATAAAGTAAACAATTTCAGTAGTTTGGGTTTTCTTTGTGTGTGTGTGTGTGTGTGTGTGTGAAACAAAGAAATTTTTTTTCTACACTGTATGTAGTTTGATTTAGAGTTTCACAGATGAAAATAAGAACTAAAACAATCATTTTACAATGGAAAATTAATGGTCTTATTCATATTTAGTGCCACCTTCCCAAATAGGAGAGGATTCTTTTGGAGAAATTTTTTAAGTTAACATACTGATAATCTCTTTGTTGGGTTTTCTACTTTTATCACAAAGTGCAGACTTCTTCCAGAAACTAGGACCAGACTTGGTAGATACTTGGCTTTACTCAACATTAAAGATTTTATTTCCATATAAATTTAGGGTTCTGATTTTTACAAATTCTAAATTTGATCAGGCCCAGTTAAAGGCCCAAGAGGAGGAGCGTCAGAAGAGGGAGGCAGAAGAAAAGGAAGCTCAGCTTGAGAAAAAAAGAGAAGAGAAGAGACTGAAGAAAATGGTTAGTAGCATGTTTAGTCAGTCACCTAGCTCTTGAAGCCTATATGCCATACCATAGCCCTATGCACCTTCCCCACCCAGAACTTACATCTAGAACACTCTTCTCTCACCTCCATCCTTTTTTTCTCTACCTTTTGTAGAGAAAACACACACATACTTCAGATCTTATCTCAAACATGACTTCTTCCAGATTAGCCTTTCCTGCCTTGTGCTACCTACCACTCCACCTAAGATTAGGTCCCCCTTTATGGACTTTGAAGTATATTTCCTTTAAAGCATTACTAGGGCTTATAACTATGCATCTGCTTTGTGGTTGTCTTATTTCTGAATCCCCAACTAATCTCTGTAAGAGTAAAGGGAGCAGTCAGGATTAGAGTCAGAGACATCAATATGAATTCACATTTAACTTAATATATCTAGATGGATACAGAAGCAACTATTGATAAGTATATATACATGGTTTGGTATACATGTGTACTCCCTAGCTCTGTCTGCAGAGGTGCTAGAAATTTTACTTTCATTTCTTCCATTTCTGATGCTACTTCTTAATTTAAATCTGAATTTTTAACCTCTATCATATTCCTTTTGCCTGAACTTCCATTAACGTTTGTTGTAGGGTAGGTCTGCTGTTCATAAATTCCCTTAGTTTCTAAGTCTTTTATTTCTCCTTCACACTTTTGAAGAATATTTTCACTAGATATAAAATTCTGTATTGACAGGTTTTTTGCTTTCAACCCTTTAAATATGTCATTGGTTGATTTCTTGCTTGCCTGGCTGGCTTCTGACAAGAAGTTTGCCGTGATTCTCCTTTGTTCCCTTGTAGGTGTCTTAGTCTGCTCTGGTTGCCTTAAAAAAATACCACAAAGTGGGTCATTTAAACAATGGGAATTAATTTTCACACAATACCCAAGCTCAGGGTGCTAGTATGGTTGCTTTTTGGTGAGGACTCTCTACCAGGCTTGTAGGCAGCCACCTTCTTACTGTGTCCTTCCATGGTCTTTTCTTAGTTCATGTACACAGAGGGAGAGAGAGAGAGAACACGTGAGCTCTCTGGCGGCTCCTCCAAGGACACTAATCCCACCCATACGACTTACTTCCTTGGAGGCCCTGTGTTCAAATACAGCCACACGGAGGGTTAGGGCTTCAGCATATGAATCTGGGGAGGGACACAAGCCTTTCAGTCCATAATAGTAGGTAAGGTAGGTTTCCCCCAAGCTGCCCTCAAGATTTTTTCTGTCTTTGTTTTTCAGGAGTTTGAATATGACATGTCTTAGTGTGGTTTGTTTGTTTTCCCTGCTTAGTGACTTTAAGCTTCTTAGATATTTGGTTTTACATGTCACTTATGCAAAATAATGGGTTAACTTTGGAGTATGTTTAGCCATTATTTCTTCAAATATCTCACCTGCCATATTCTTTTTCTTCTCCTTCTTGGATTCTACTTATGCTTGTGTTACATTGTTTGCTATTGCCCCAGAGCTCTTGGATTCTCTGTTGTGTTTTTCACTCCTTTTTATCCTTGCCTTTCAGCAGTTTGTGTAATTTCTGTTGCCCTTCCTTCAAGTTACCCGATTCTTTCCTCAGCTATGTCAGGTCCCACAAAGAGTCCATTGAAGGCCATCTTCATTTCTGTTACATGTTTTTTATTTAAGCATTTTTGCTTGACTCTATTATAGTTACATCTCTTTTCTAAAATTACCTATTTGATCTTGAATGATGACTACCTTTCCATTAGAGTCCTGTTATCATGCTATTTAAAATTCCCTTTCTGATAGTTCCAGCATCTCTGTTAGATCTGAGTCTTATTCTAATGATTGCTTTATCTTTTCAGACTGTGTATGCTTTTTGTCTTTTGGTATATCTTTTTGTTGTTATTGTTGTTAAAAACCAGACATGTTGTACAGGGCAATAAAAATAGAGATGAATAGGTTTCTTAGTCTGGAGACTCATATTAATCTAGCTGGGAGAGCTGTATTTGAGATTTTTTGTTTCTGTGGGCACCACAGACTTCAATTCCCACCAGTGACTTTGCTTCTGGCTCTCCTTTTGGCCTTAGGTCTTCCCTTCGTCTCTTCCCCAAACTCTCTCTTACAGCTCTCTTCAGCTATACTCCACTGTTATTCCTGGAGGTTTGTTACTGTGCTGGTGGGGTGTGAGCATGTTCTGATTGCCAGTCTTTAGAGTGCCTAGTGTTGGGCATTCCAAAGAATTTCTGCTCCTACTCTAGGCGTAGAGCTTTCCCATGCCCCTCTGTTCCCTTCTTTCAGAATCCACTGCCTCTGTCTGTGGGCTTACAGCCCTTCTGTCTGTGAGGTTCTCCCTCCACTTAGGTGAGATGGGGTCTGCTCTGGGTGAAGCTCCCTTCCCCCAGCTGCAGTGGCATTCCACTTGTGCCTTCAGGTGGTGCTGCTTGCAGATGAAACCTTTGTTTCCTAAGGGAGAATGGTCTGGGCAGATTCTGCAGTATTTGTTGTTCCTCTACTCCAGCCAGAACCATGATGGGAGCTTTATCTGCATTCTCCCTAATCCTCTCTGTGAGGGCCTGGTGGCTAGAACAAAAGCCCGCAAAAAGGTATGAACCTCCTTGTGACTGTGACTCCCAGGAACATCACCCGTTCATGCTGGCCCACGCTTGGCCTCCAGCAGTTCACCAAAATTTCTAGTTCAATCATCTTACTGGCTCATATGGTGTACAGTGTCTTCTGCCTCAGGTAAGCAAATGCTTAGGTCCTGTGTCTTCCTGAAGGAGCCTGTCTCTCTAGATTTGAGGATGGCTTCAAAAGATTTGAGGATTGGTTCACAAAAAGCCATTAACTTGCTGTCTTTCCAGCTTTTCTCTTGCTGGAAGCAAACTGCTTATGCGAAGCAGGAAGGATGAGATACATTACTGGCCAATAGGTTGTCTTCTCTTTCTCACTATACAAAACCCAAATCTTTCCTTTTCAGAAAAGGAACTTCAGTCCACAACAAAAGACAAAAATATTTTGTCACATAGATTAGTTGATGTTCAGTAAATAAACTGTAGCTATCTCAGTTTAGACGCATTTATAGACTGCCTGTGTTTGAGCTTTCTTTGAGAGCAGATTTAGGTCCACATGCACTTGACAGTTTTCTCCTTTTGCTTCTGTGCAAAGATGCTCTGCACAGTGCTTCTCCACCTTGTTATCATGTGTTCTTTTTCCTTATGACGCATCATATTCTGCACAGGCAATTCTTTACCTCTCTGTATACTTCATATAGTCATTCCCAGTAAGCAGCCTCCAGCCTATAGCAGTGTTATTCCTCTGGACATCAAAAAAGATAATCACATTTCTAAACCAGGGCCTGTCCTGACTTCTCTGAATCAGTTGCATCCTTGTTTGATAGAAGCATGCTTCACCCCTTCTAGTTGGACACTTTTTTGCTCATTAAGTTAATCAACAAATTGTCCAACAGAGGTCCCATTTTTAATTACACAGATGAGCAACCCTGCTATTGATGTGGTAGAGAAGGTCTCTGGGGCAATCACATATATTTCTTTGGGAAAAAAATACAAGGTAGCTCTGTGACACCAGTTTTAGGGTAAAGAACTCAAAAAGTACTTTGGAGATAAGCTGTGACAAATTTGCCCTCCATATTTAGGAAGACATGGTTCAAAGTAAAGATACGGCTGCCCTCTGTGAAAGATTTTTGTTTTGTGAAGTTCCCCTGGATCTAGAAATGCTGCATTCTTCAGATAGGAGGACACTGTAGTAATGGCAGGAAATACTACCTGGGATAGTATGGTCAGCAATGGTCTAGGTGGTGGTTTAGTACCCACCAAGACCCTGATGGGATAGCCTGTCAGGTGCAGCAGTAATGCGGCCACTCACAGGTCTCACAGATGTTCTTTTGAAAATAAAAATCTGAACTCCTTAACATCCCTTTGCTCTATTTTTATTAAAAGCTTGCTTTCTAGTAATACTTAGCAGGCAAAAACTTTTATGGTTGTATAGATATGATTTTAATTAATAGTTGATGAAGTTTACTGAAAAGATATATTTATTGGAGACCAGGCAAGATTTAAAGTTTTCCATAATTGCTTAAGAAGCATATTTGTTCATTTAACAAATATCTGTAGAGCATCTACTATGTGCTAGGCATTGTTCTAGGTGTTAGAATAGAGCACTGAAGATGGACAACAGCCCTGCCCTCACAAAGTTTATATGCTAGTTGAAGAAAACCAGCAATAAATAAGTTAACAACTAAAGAGGTGGGGAGGGAAAGATATAATGGGGGAAGCAAGATGGGAAAGGCCTCTCTAAGGTGATATTTGAGCGGCTGGATGCAGAGGGGGCCTCTACAAGGTCTACTAGGGTATGTTAAATGTGAGGTCCCTCTTAGATATCCAAATGAACATGTCAAATCAGCAGCTGAATATATATAAGCCAGGATGGACATTAAGATTGTAGTAAGGACTCTGGAAGTCAAAAACCTGTCAATGTTTTTAATACTCTAGAAATGAATGAAATCAAGTTAGGAGAGTGTCTGGATAGAGAAGAAATATGAGGGCCCAGGATCAATTACTAGGATATATGAATAATTACTCAGAAGATGAGGAGCTAGTGAAGTAGAAAGAGAACCAGTAGAACTTTTTGTTGAGAAGCTGAGATAAAAGTATTTCTGTAAGGGGGCAGTGGTGGTTAATCGGGCTAAATGCTGCTAAGGTCAAAAGGACAGACAAGTGACTCTTTGATTTAGCAACATGGAGATCATTCATGACCTGGAGAAAGCTGTTTTTCAGTGGAGTGCTAGGAAAGGAGCCCCATTCCGGCAAGTTGGGGAGGTAATAGGAAATGAAGAAATGGAAACCATGAGTATAAAATGGGTCACATGAGATCAAAAAAGGATTTTTTTCGGTTTTTGTTTTATTTTCTTTTTTAGAGCTGGGAGATACCAGCACATATTTGCATATTGAAGGGAATGATCCATAGAGAGAAATTCATATTACACAAGAACAAAGGCATAAATTAAAGGAATGCATAA